CGACCAGCGCTATTCATTCCGTACGAGATGCACCCACTTTGGCCTGAGCACGCCTCACTTGTCCCATGGGTGCCAGTGTTTACAAGCCAGCCACCGCGGTCGCTTCCAAACATACAACTGGAGCATTTCATATCACAGACTTTGTAGTGATTGCACCTGTAAAATAAGTCACCATGGGCCCCAAGAAAGCTTCTAGTGCCAACCCTACAGCAGAGAGGGTGAGAATTACTATGGAGATGAAGAAAGAGATCATTGCTAAGTATGAAAGTGGAGTGCGTGTCTCTGAGCTGGTCAGGTTGTATAATAAACCCCAATTAACCATAGCTACTATTGTGGGCAAGAAAACGGCAATCAAGGAAGCTGTTCTTGCCAAAGGTGCAACTATGTTTTCGAAACTGAGATGGCAAGCGGTAGAAGATGTTGAGAGACTCTTATTGGTGTGGATAAATGAGAAACAGATGGCAGGAGATAGCATCTCTCAAGCGATCATATGTGAAAAGGCTAGGAAGTTGCATGACGATTTAATTAAAAAAATGCCAGCAAGTAGTGAATTTAAGTGAGCGAATTTAAGGCCAGCAAAGGTTGGTTTGAGAGATTTAAGAAACGTAGTGGCATTCATAGTGTGATAAGGCATGGTGAGGCAGCCAGTTCGGACCACAAAGTGGCTGAAAAATATGTGCAGGAATTCAAGGAGTACATAGACAGTGAAGGACTGAAACCTGAACAAGTGTTTAATTGTGATGAAACAGGCCTGTTTTGGAAGAAAATGCCAAACAGGATGTACATTACTCAGGAGGAAAAGGCACTCCTAGGACATAAGCCTACGAAAGACAGGCTTACTCTGTTGATGTGTGCCAATGCTAGTGGTGATTTTAAAGTGAAGCCTTTATTGGTGTATCACTCTGAAACTCCCAGAGCGTTCAGGAAAAACAATGTCGTCAAGGCTAATTTGCGTGTGCTGTGGAGGGCAAACAGTAAGGCATGGGTCACTAGGGACTTTTTCTATGACTGGTTACACCATGCATTTGCCCCCAATGTGAAAAATTACCTAATTGAAAAGAAATTAGACCTTAAGCATTTGTGCTTTATAGTTATCTGTTTACAATAATGTTTTATCACTGATTTCATCATTGCTTAGTTAATCTTAAGTTAATTTTAAGCCAGCCCGTAATGCTATGCATATAAGTGGCTTTGGCATGCTGCTCTTACCTGTATTTTTTGTACCTCCGTATGTATGCTTAAATTACTAAATAAATAAATAAATAAATAAATAAATAAGTGCCTTCTGGTATTAGACAATGCTCCTGGTCATCCTTCAGACTTGGCAGAGCGTCTTTCTAGGGACATGAGCTTCATTAAGGAGAAGTTTTTGCCTTCTAATACCACTCCTCTCCTGCAGCCCATGGACCAGCAGGTCATTTCCAACTTCAAGAAACTGTACACAAAAGCTATGTTTGAAAGGTGCTTTGTAGTGACCTCAGAAACTCAACTGACTCTAAGAGAGTTTTGGAAAGATCATTTTACCATCCTCAATTGTGTAAACATTATAGTTAAGGCTTGGGAGGAAGTGACTAAGAGGACCTTGAACTCTGCTTGGAAAAAACTGTGGCCAGAATGTGTAGACAAAAGGGGTTTTGAAGGGTTTGAGGCTAACCCTGAGAATCCTATGCCAGTTGAGGAATCCATTGTGGCATTGGGGAAATCCTTGGGGTTGGAGGTTAGTGGGGAGGATGTGGAAGAGCTCGTGGAGGAGGACAATGAAGAACTAACCACTGATGAACTGCTAGATCATCTTGAACAGCAAGAGGGCAGACCTGAGGAAACTGCTTTGGAGGAGGGATAAAGTTGCCTACTTCTAAGATTAAGGAAGTGTGTGCAAAGTGGCTTGAAGTGCAAAACTTTTTTGATGAAAATCACTCTGACACGGCTACTGCAAGCCGTGTTGGCAACCTGTACACTGACGATGTTGTGAACCACTTTAGGAAAGTCATAAAGGAACGAGAGGTACAGGCCTCTATGGACAGATATGTTGTGTGACAGAGGTCCAGTGACTCTCAAGCTGATCCTAGTGGCATTAAAAGAACAAGGGAAGTAACCCCAGAAAAAGACTTGCTACCTCAAATGCTAATGGAAGGGGATTCCCCTTCTAAACACTAAGATGATCAACGGTCTCCCCTCCTCCCATCCCATCAATCATCACCAGATCTTCAACAAAGGTAAGTGTCATGTAACTGTGCATGTCTTCTTCAGTTTGTGTGTATTAAAATTAATATTTCATGTGGGAAAATTTTTTTTTTTTCAATACTTTGGGGTGTCTTGCACGGATTAATTTGATTTAAATTATTTATTATGGGGAAAATTAACTTGACTAACGATTATTTCAATTAACGATGAGCTCTCAGGAACGGATTAATATCGCTGGTTGAGGGTCCACTGTATTAATGAAGGGATTCAGGGAAACCGGTTATTTTATATAACCGGACTTGAGTCCTGGAAATGGGAAGTACAATACCTGCACTTTAAAGGAGGGGTTTGGGATATTGGCAGTTTGGAGGGATATATTGTGTATTTTTTATACGTAGATACTTCTAGACTGTTGTATTCTGGGCACCTCTGCAAAAAGTGATTATGTGTGAGTGAGGTGAAAGTGTTGAATCATGTTGAAAGTATTTTCTTTTTGGGGATTTTCTTTCTTTTTGGGTCACCCTGCCTCTGTGGGAGACGGCCAACTTGTTGAAAAAAAAAAAAATTCTAAATTGTGTGTACAGTATAGTATGTATTAGATACCTTTGATATACCTTTGAAGAATTTCGAGAACATATCTACTCTCTGAGCCCGACGATGGGCCAGGCTCATCTGGTGCTCGCCTGGTCAACCAGGCTGTTGCTGCTGGAGGCCCGCTGCCCCACATATCCATCACAGCCTGGTTGATCTGGCACCTGGTGAAGATACTTGTCTAGTTTCCCCTTGAAGGCTTCAACACTTGTTCCAGCAGTGTTTCTGATATCTTCTGGTAAGATGTTGAAAAGTCTAGGACCCTGGATGTTGATACAGTGTTCCTTTATTGTCCCCACTGCACCCCTGCTCCTCACTGCATTTATTTTACACTTCCTCCCATACCTCTCACTCCAGTATGTTATGGCAGTGTGCAGATTTGGTACCAAGCCCTCGAGTACCTTCCAGGTATATACAGTAGACCCCCGGTTCCCGATGCTATCGGTATCCGATAAATCCGGTAGCCGATGCATTTGATCGAAAAAATTTGCCTCGCTTCCCGATACAAAACCCGGTATGCGATACGATGCGTACGAGATGTGTCCACGTGTGGCCTGAACTGCCCCGTGTGTGCCAGTGTTTACAAGCCAGCCAGTGTGCGCGCATCTAAGCATACATTCGGTACATTCCATATTATCCATAATATCATTGTTTTTGGTGCTTGTTTCTGCAAATTAAGTCACCATGGGCCCCAAGAAAGCTCCTAGTGCCAACCCTTCGAGACCAAGGGTGCTAATGACTCTTGAAATGAAGAAAGAGATAATTGCAAGGTACGAAAGTGGAATGTGTGTGTCGGAACTGGTCAGGTTGTATAGTAAACCCCAATCAACCATGTCTACTATGGTGAGCAGGAAAACAGCAATCAAGGAAGCTGTTCTTGCAAAAGGTGCAACTGTGATTAGGAAACAGCAACCGCAAGTGTTAGAAAATGTTGGGAGACTGTTATTGGTGTGGATAAATGAAAAACAGATAGCAGGAGATAGCATCTCTCAAGCGATCATTTGTGAAAAGGGTGATGAAAATCACCCTCACACAGCTATTGCAAGCCATGCTGGTGACTATTACACTGACAATGTTGTGAAACACTTTAGGAAAGTCATAAAGGAACGAGAGGTACAGGCCTCTATGGACAGATATGTTGTGCGACAGAAGTCCAGTGACTCTCAAGCTGGTCCTAGTGGCATTAAAAGAAGAAGGGAAGTAACCCCAGAAAAAGACTTGCTACCTCAAGTCCTAATGGAAGGGGATTCCCCTTCTAAACACTAAGACCATCCACACACTCCCCTCCTCCCATCCCATCAATCATCACCAGATCTTCAATAAAGGTAAGTGTCATGTAACTGTGCATGTCTTCTTCAGTTTGTGTGTATTAAAATTAATATTTCATGTGGTAAAAAAAAATTTTTTTCATACTTTTGGGTGTCTTGCACGGATTAATTTGATTTCCATCATTTCTTATGGGGAAAATTGATTCGATTTCCAATAATTTTGGTTTACGTTGAACTCTCAGGAACGGATTAATATCGTGAACCGAGGGTCCACTGTATTATCATGTACCTCTCTCTCCTCCACTCCAGTGAATACATGTTCAAGACTTGCAGGCATTCCTAATAGTTTAGGTGCTTTACTGGCTCAAAGATGTACTGCAATAATGCTTTTTCTGCATTTTAATTTAACAAACACTCAGAGAATCCCTCTTATTAGTCCTCTTTGAAGAATAAAGATGCACAGTACTGTGACTGGAACAATACACAAATAACCTGTGCTTCAGACACAAAAACTTATGAAGACATTTCAGTCCAGCTTGGACCATTAACTAGTCACATAGTGTGACTAGTTAATGGTCACATAGTTAATAGTCATGCAGTGTAACTAGTTAATGGTCCAAGTTGGACTGAAACATCATAAATTTCAATCTCCTAAGTGTGGGTTTTATGTATAGTCCTTTATCTCAAGGATTTGTTGTAGTCTAGGAGGTGGACCAGGAGCTGAGTCCTGACCTCCATAAACACTATTCAGTATGTGCACCAGAGCTATTTATAATGTAGCAAGACAGTGCAAATATAATAGAGCAGGTGGCTGCCAGAGTCCAGTTGTCCCATCTCCTGATTAAATTGTGTGTTTTCTATTCAGGTTGGTATGGTACATTAATATCTTAAATGGTTTCTGAAAAGTATGTCTGGTTATTCACTTATGAAATTAATGCTTGACTGATATTTCCTCAGATGGGTGTACGAGGGTTTTTTCAGGGCTTCCTAATGCAGTTTTCAGTCAAGCTGCTGTCTTCAGCTTCAAGATTTATCAGACACCCAGGAAAGCTACTTGATTTGTTCTTCAACAGAAACAACTTTAATGCTGGACTCTTCCTTGCTTGGTTTATATCAGTATTTAAGGTGACTATTGATTCCAAGACAAATTTCAAAGTGTTATTTTTAACATTAACATTGTTCATTTGAGCATACTTTCATTATACATTAATTTACAAAAAATTATTTGGTTGTTGCACTTGTTGGTTAGTTCAACTTGCTCAGTTTGCAGAGTTATCCTTTCATGTTACATTATTGTGCAACTCCTTGTACTATCTTTTAACCCTAAATGGTCCAAATGTATATACATGTATACGTTCACGCGCGTAGCGCCCCAAACGTATATATACGTTTTCTTTGTCATTCATTCAACATTGCCACAATAAGCCTGAGTCACCTAGACATGAGAGAATGGGTGTGCGCACTCACTGTGTGCCATATTAAAATAATTGGGGATACCTGGGTACCATATGCTCTTTTTTCCTTTTAAAAGAAAAGATTTTTTTTTTCCTCAAAAAATTTGGGGCTCTACGCGAGTGAACATATATATACGTTTGGACCGTTTAAGGGTTAATAGCTAGTACCAGCTACTTCATATACTTTTTTTTAGTGCTATTAATTGCTCAAATTTTATATTACAAGTCAAATCTTACTCCTAAATTAATATTATATCATAGTTACTATCTGTCCATTTAACTTTGTTTACCCTTTTATATTTTCCCCTAAAATAGTTCTCTACATACCAATACCTCGTACTGCCCTTTATTCAGTCATTTTTTTACTCTTAGTTTTAATAATAATTCAGGTGCTAAAGTGTTTTACTTTCACTGTTTTAAAATTATATTCACTAGCTCCTTTATTTTAACTTTAAATAACTACTTTAGTTCATATATTCACTTTTGTTAAAATAATTCAGATGCTAAAGTGTAATGCTTTCATTATTTTACTATTATATTCCCTAGCTCCTTTATTTTTTAGCTTTAGAATATTTACATTGTTTTATTCTCAAGTCTAGTTATAGAATCACTCTCAGTCTTATGATTACAAGCATTGATCCTAAAACCAACTTCTTACTAAATGACTTAAATGAATAGAACAGCAACTGTAATTATTACATAGCAGAATAAGCAAAGGCACTTCTCAGAGCCAACAACAACATAACTGTCTTTAACTACAATGTCAGATCTTAAAGCAAAGACTACGATGACCTTACGGCATTACTAAATTCCCTGCATGCCAATATGTCCATCATCACTCTCACCAAAACCTGGCTAAAGCCTGATGCTACAGATGTCTATGCTATTCCTGGTTACACAGCCATACACAATTGTAGGCCAGACCAGCAAGGGGGTGGCACAGCTAGCTATATACTACTCAGACCAACTTGAATGTATCAATAATACTTGCACAAGAGATGAGCATGGGGAATATGTCATGGCTAAATTTAAATCCAAATACATACAAAAATCTCTCACAGTGATAAACATCTACAGAGTGCCACAGTCAAATATTAACCAATTTAGTGAAAACTAGGAAGCATGATAACTGATGCACACATGAACAAAGACCACTTACTACTCACAGGAGACTTCAATATAAATCTCCTGCAAGACCAGGAACCACAAGTAACTGAATTCACAAACACTCTTAGCAACTGCTTGCTGCTACCAACAGTAACAAAACCTACAAGAATCTCGGAGACTAGTGTTTGCTTATTAGACCACGTCTGGACCAACAGCATATCCCCTTTAAAATCAGGCATAATCACAGATAACACCACAGACCACTACCCTACCTTTCTCATAACCAATCTAGGTAGATTACCCCAAGACACTACTAAAGTTACCTTCAGACTTCATAATGAGACAGCTATTAATAACTTCACAACAGCAGTGAGAAACATCGACTGGCAAACAAAATAAAACTAGTTAGCAGATGTTTGGTTGATTTGGTTAATATTGTGAGATAAGATGGTTTTTTACCAGAGTCCTAGATTTATAAGCTGTCAGGGGATCCTTGACCTGTTCCGGTAGCGAGTTCCAGATCTTTGGGCCTTTTGTGTGTATAGCGAGAGACTGACTCGAGGGATGTTGAAAAGTGCAATAACAAACATCGACTGGCAAACCGAGCTAGAAATCTATACAGATACTGACGAGTGTATTAATAATTTTATAAAAAAAAAAAAAAAAACTCTATAACAGGCATTGCCCTAAAAAAAACTAAACAGATCACAGCTATGAGACTGAACAGTCCCTGGCTAACACCCAGCATCCTCAAATCCATAAATATAAAGCACCTATATGAAAAACAGTACAAAATGGCCCAAATAACCAGAGACCAAACAAAACATTACTCGTCAATCTTAACCAGCCTGATAAGAAGGGCAAAAAAAATTGCATTATGAGAACAGATAACTTAACTTAATAGGTGATATAAAAAAGACCTTTAAAACCCTATCTGAAATTCTAGGAACTAAAAAGTTATCAGGAAACAGAACAATCAAACTAACAAAACCAGATGAACCCCTACTCCCAGCGACTGAAACAGCAGACAGACCCAATGCTTTCTTCTCCACCTGTGGCTTAGCGCTTCTTTATGATTATAATAATTTCTTCTCCACCATAGGAAAAAACCTGGCGAGCAAAATTCCAAGCTCAAACACCCCACCTAACGACTACCTCACTGGCACCTACCCGAACACATTATTCCTAGCTCCGACCAACCTAACAGAAGTCTCACTTATTATCAACACACTAAAGAACAAGGCATGAGGTTTAAATAACTTAACACCCTTCATATACAAAAACGTTTTTCAAGTGCTGTTACCAATTATTGCAACACTTTAACAAATCCATCGAATCCTCTACCTTCCCCTCAATTCTCAAAATAGCGAGGGTCACCCCGATACATAAAGGAGGAGATCAAACAGACCTGAATAACTATAGGCCAGTATCTAACTTACCCCTTCTCTCTAAAATCTTTGAAAAATTAATTCATAGGCAGATCTATTCCTACCTCATCTCCCACAACATACTCAACCCCTGTCAGTTTGGGTTCAGGCCTAATAAAAACATGAATGATGCTATTATACACATGCTAGAACTAATATACACAGCACTCAAGAAAAAAGGAAGTTTCATTGGGAACCTTCATTGATCTACGTAAAGCTTTTGATACAGTTGACCATGATTTGTTACACACAAAATTATCACATACCTTAGTATCAGAAGCCAATATGGGTACACAAATGGAGGTAACTCTTCCACACAACCAATTACAGTTGCTGTCCCACAGGGAAGTGTCCTTGGCCCACTTCTCTTTCTCATTTACATAAACGACCTACCAAATGCATCTCAACTACTCAAATCCGTTCTATTTGCAGGTGACACTACATACATCTTCTCTCACCCAAGCCCAGTCATACTAGCCAATACTGTAAATACTGAATTACAGAAGATATCTACCTGGATGATGATTAACAAGCTTACATTCGATATTAACAAAACCGGTTTCATTCAGTTTGGGAACAGAGCTACAAATGTTCCCCTTAACATAATGATAAATGGATCACCTATCACAAAACTCACAGAGGGACAATTCTTAGGAATCCACCTTGATAATAGCCTCAAATTTCAGACACGTGTACAACTTTCCAAGAAAGTCTCCAAGACCATAGGCATACTATCGAAGATACGGTACTATGTTCCACAATCAGCTCTCCTTGCCCTGTATCACTCACTTATTTACCCCCATCTCACCTATGGAATCTGTGCGTGGGGCTCAACAATAAATCATCTCAGACCATTAATTACCCAGCAAAAGGCTGCAGTCAGAATAACAAATTCCCACTCCAGACAGCACACTCCACCAATATTCAAAAGTCGAAACTTACTCACCGTACAAAACATCCATACTTATTATTGTGCCTACCACATACGTTGAACGTTAAACTCAAATACAAATCCTCCCCTCATACTTCTCCTTACCAACCTTAACAGAACACACGACCATAATACAAGACACAGATCACTCTTTGATGTTCCCCATGTCCAATTCACACTATGTAAAAATTCAATGCACATGAAAGGCCCAACCATTTGGAATTCATTACCAGTGAATACCAAAGAAACACTGTCTGTATATCAATTCAAGACTCTTCTTAAAAACCATCTACTCACCCAAAACTAATTACACAGTATTTAATTTAGCTTTACCTACATAGTTAACAAATCACTTTCTACTGCCTCAAAATATCATTACTCACTGTATTACTTCCCTAGCCTTAGGACCCCATAATTAAATGCTCAGAGGTCAATAAATTCTCATATCTAACCTAATGCAAATACTGAACAACTTATATCTCATGAATGTATAACCCAGTTGTATAATTAGAGAAACCTCATCAAACTATGTTATTATAGCATTACCTAATAGAATAATCCATTCTCTTGAATGCACTGTAACTCGTCTAATGACCATATGAACTGTTACCGCACTACAGATCATTGATTTGATTTGATTAGATCTGATTAATAAATTGTACGACTACATAAAGTAAATTGATCATTGTTATATTATTCACTGTAATGTTACAAAATTGTAATGCTTCAAAATTGAAATGTTCAAATTCATTGTTTAAAATACTCAATTGTACTTGATATTGTAAATTGTCTGCTGTAACTGTTACCATTAAATCTATTATAGCTTAGATAGTCTTAAGTTAATTTTAACCCATAAATGGTCCAAATGTATATATACGTTCATTACCCCAGTGCCCCGAATATTTTGAAAAATAAAAAAATCATTCTTTTTTTTTTATTGAAAAAAGAGCACATTTTTCGAAGTGTTATAGGATAAAAAAAAACTTTTAGGGGCAGTACTTACCGAGATATGAGGTCAAGAAGTTGGCACTGGATGCTCAGGTGACAGCAACATGGAGTCCTGCCACTTGCAGAAGTGTTGCCGATGTACCTTTTTTTTTTTTTTTCTATTTTTCATATTATTTTATATAATTTTTATGTTCTGATAATTACAATTTATAGTAGTTCTTGTCATTTCATAAGCAATCTTTGTTCTGACACTAGTAT